TCAAAATAATCTATTCTTCGGCGCTTGGCCTTCCTCTCACCTGCCGTTCTCCTCAGAGTACTGTTGCCAGCATCACTCTGCTTAGACCCCACAGGAAGCTATGGCAGACAGTGTGCAAGAGAACCAAGGAGGACCAATACAAGGGGTATATGGGTCACAGTATTTTAAGATAACATATAGCAGTGTCAGGAGATTATCTGATTGCTGAAGGGTAAATTAATAAGGTTCTTCTAGAAATAAAATATAGTTTAGAATTTATTTTGCTACTTGTCCTATCTAACAAAAGAATAATAAATTGTACAAATTATGTTCATATTTCCTTGATTTGCATATTGTGTTCATGCAGGAGGAGTCAGTAGATTTTCTCAATACAAAATTCACAGCTGTGGAGCCAGCTGGTCATCCAGTCTCTGCTTGCAAACGCCCAGCAAAGGAGCATCCACCACCTCCCAAGGCAGACTGTTCCACTGCTCAACCACTCTTACAGTTAGGAAGTTTCTCCTGATATTTAGCCGGTATCGACTCCCTTGTAATTGCCACCCATTAGATCTAGTCTTGCAATCCGGAGCAAGAGAGAATAGATCTGCTCCATCTTCTACATGACAGCCCTTCAAATATTTGAAGACTGCAATCATGTCCCTTCTAAGCCTTCTCTTTCCCAGGCTAAACATACTCAACTCTTTCAGCCTTTCCTCATAAGACTTGGATTCCAACCCTCTCACCATCCTGGTTGCCCTCTACTGGACACGCTCGACCTTGTCAACATCCTTCCTAAAATGCGGTTGCCCAAACTGGACACAGTACTCCAGGTGAGCCCTGACCATAAGCGGAATAGAGCAGAACTACCACCTCCCGTGATCTGGACACAATGCTTCTGTTAATGCATCCTAAGATTGCATTGGGAGCTGCGGTGGCTCAAGTGGTTAAGACGCTGAACTGCAGGCTGTGGAAGGTCAGTAGTTCAGCAGTTCGAGACCCAGGTGTGATAAATAGGTACCACTTCGGTGGGAAGGTAACAGCGTTCCGTGCACCTTGGTGCTTAGTCATGCCGGCCACATGACCACGGAAACCTCTTCGGACAGTGCTGGCTCTTCAGCTTTGAAACGGAGATGAGCACCGCAACCCTAGAGTCGGATTCGACTGGCTTTCGAGCAAGGGAACCTTTACCTTTAAGATTGCATTAGCTTTCTTTGCAGCCACATCGCACTGCAGGCTCATGTTTGGCTTGTGATCAACCAGAACACCCAGATCCCTTTCACATGTGCTGCTGTCAAGCCAAGTCCTTCCCATTCTATATCTAAGTGTAGGTACAAAATCCAATCTCCTCCTCCTCCTCTTCTTCTTCTTTAATGTTTATTTTATCATTTTCAATTTTATCATTTTAATTGTTCAAATGTTTAAATGTTTTATGTGACCACCTTGGGGACCCTGATTGGGTGAAAAGGGGGCATATAAATATTTTAAATAAATAAAAAATATTCCTCATGGCTTGAGATAAATTTCTTGGTGTTTCTGTACTGTGAGCCCAAACTCTAGTTTTCAAGTCAAGCCAGGAAAAAAAAGGCAAATATAAGCAGGGACACTCCATGACATTTGGAAGACTTAGCTAATGGTAATCCCTAATGAGATTTCTAAAAAAGTACGTCTGAAAAGGAAATGTGGAGACATTTACCCACTAGGGTGTCTTTTGAGGTTTTGCTGGAACATCTGCATTTTTGAAGCCCAGTTCGTGCAGGGGATTCCTTTGCAACCTAGTGGGATCTTGCAGAGAAAACCAATTAATATCTAACCCAGGGAGAGCTCTATACACACGCACAAAAGCAAACGTCTCTCCTGAGTGTTTGCTCCATCTGCCCCTCCACAAGATGCCAGCATGACAGGAATGAGAAAACAGACATGAAACATCCTCAAGTGCCAAGCCCCCACAGTGAAGGAAGAAAAATAACCCCCCAGTGAGGGGGATGATAAATAACTAATCAAAAGGTCCTGGGGGGGTAATGGTAGGCCACAGACAGATGGGGGTGGGGGGGGTGGAATAGCTGCTGGATAGTGAGTCTGTTGCCTCAGGCTGTTGGCATGAACAAGAATAGATATTCAGGCAGGGTATGCCCTGTTAAGGCTGCCATTTTCAGTAAGATGCATGCAAGGGATTTCCTCCTGTCTTCAGATTCATAACTCTATGCATCGCCTATCAGCGGCAATGAGAAGCCGCCTACCTAGCATCTCTTATTTATTCTCGATCTATTCCCCCCCGCCATTTTTCTCTCTGTGTGTTTTGTTGTGTGTGTGTATGTGTCCCTATCTGCCTTATCTTTTTCTGCCCATGTCTGTCTCTCAGATCTCCAGCCGCCCCCCTGTCTGTCTGATTCTACTGTCCCCCTCCCCCGGGATGTGTGTCCTCAGTCTCTGGGATCCCGTGGGTGGGTTTTTTATTCCATCAATGGCTTCATCCTCCTTTCCCCCCTCCGCTCAGTGGGGTCTGCCGCCAGCTCTCCTGTTGCTCAGAGATGAGGAGGCAGTTGCTAAGAGACGGTGGTGAGACGTCAGTACCTGGCCCTCAAGGAAAAAAACAGAGGGGGAGAAGGAGGAGAAGGGAATAGGAGGTGGGGAAATACCTGGCTGAAATGACACACACACACACACTGCAAGAGCCGCTGCAGTCCAGCGAGAGAGACTGAAATCCCCTCAGCTTCCCTGCCTTCAAGAGGTGCAGATGAAAAAAGGGTGAAGGGAGGCAAGAAGCATGGCAGAAGAAGGACAAGAATTGCCACTGTCATAAAGAAGAAGAACCCTTAATGGATTTAGGCAATACAAGTGAGCACCAGAGCTGAGCTGCAACAATCCTCATCTCTCGGAGTAAGTATCTACTTTGAACAAAAATAGACAGTGTGGTGGAGAGAAACGAAGAGGGAATGCATGCTTGCAGTATGACTGTAAGAAAATTAAGACGTTGGTGATCACTGTGTCGTGACCAGGGTGCATCTTCAGTGCATGAAGGTGAACAATGCACTTGAAGAAAAGATGCACCCTAGTGAGAGAAGGGGAACAAACCTGTGCCGAGACACGGGAAGGATGTGCAGTGACAGCAAATGGGATAGAAGTCCTTCGGGGCGTCTGGGTCTGCGGTTTTACTTGCTTGTTCAGAGGAAACAGAAGACAAAAGAAAAGAGGCAAGACAAGGAATGAGAGAGGGATGGTTACAGTTATTCAAGAGGAAGAAAGCTACAAAAGGAGACATATCAATGAGAGGGCCAAGGAAAGAGATGTATGTTGAGGCTCAGGAACAACAGCGAGGGATGTAGGGACTCTGAATCCACAGAGGCCCGCTCTCCAGCCGAGTATATTTCAAGTGCTGAGATTACTCAGAGGCCTGAAACCACTGCAAAGCTAAGGGTGATGCAAGGGAATCAGGATGCCTCAAGAGACCTCTGTGGATGGGTGGTGCCCTTCAGCTGGGCCAGGAATAGTAAGAGATCATGTAGGGCACTCTGACTAGGGCATGTGGACAAGGCTGTATGGAATCCCAGGGCTAGGAGAAATGTGGAACTGAGAACTCTTAAGCTTCCTCTATGTCTTAGGCTGAGTAGAACCTTATAGTTTATATGTTAATTTGTTTCTTAGGCCATTATCACAAATTTTATATCTTGGACAAGTGGAAATGGTTAAAGCTTTCTTTTACTTTCTAAGTTCTTCTGTGACCATAAATCTACAGCTACAAGGTCAGAGGCAAGGGTTCTGAATGAAATTTGTAAAGATTGGAGAGGAAGGAGAAGGAAATAAACCAAAAGTATAAGAAGGAAGCATGGATTCTAGTAATGTCAGGAAAAATAATGAAAGCAATAGCATGTTTACCAACTCTTTTGATCCCCTTTTTGTTTCATTTCAGGTTGCACAGTCAAATTCCTGTCATTTCCCACTGAGAAAGAAAACCAGGTTTAAAGCACAACATTTTGTATTCTAAGTCCTTCTATTCCACCAGACATTTTTTTATTAATATGTAGGCATTATTTCTCCTGTATGTGCGAGACCTTATCACTTTCCCCACCAGCATTTCAAAGCAAGGAACACCATGGACACATGCAATCATTTCCGAGGAAGTCACAGCTTATTGGATAATTATGCTGTCAAAAGGTTTACTTAAATTTATTTATTTATTTAATTTATGCCCCGCCCTTCCTACCAAGGCAGGCTTAGGGTGATGACAACCAACCCTCTTCCCAACCAACAAAAACTATGGACTATTAAATGGCTCACGTCCAGCCCCAGCACCTCCTGACCTTTCCAAGAGATTCTCACCCCCCCCCCAGTTTAGCAGTACATTATCAAAAGCATCTTCTGAGCAAGAAACTGAGCGAGAGACTTCATAAAGATGTGCAATTAAAATGTTTTTGTTTTGTTTATATCTGTTCTCTTCTGAAGGCACTTCAATGACGACAGGAGAAGCCACTTACAATTCTGTGGAACTTCAGAAGAATTTACTGGATAACACAGTTTATTGATGATATTTCACAGGTGTGACACATACACCTTTAAGAGGCATCTGCAGGCCTATGTTTCCACCAGACAACATACCAAGAGGAAATAAATTTTCTTGCAATTCAGGTTCAAGAAATCTGGTAATCAACAACAACCTATTAAAAGCCACCATCGGAATTTGTGTATGATCCTTTGGAGAAGGTATTTTTAGTATTTCCATAGACCAAAGTGGTCATGTGTGCATATGCAGGTAAACTTCTACTGCACTCATCCTAAAGGGGAAAAGTGATATAGGCAGCTAAACAGATGACTAAAATGCTTGTGACCCAATCAGAGCCCTTCCACAGTACGTACTTCTTCTCAAGGTGCCTCAAGAGCAATACAAATGTTGGTTCAGGGCCCAGCCTGAATGTAGCAGGTTTTCTGCATTAGTGGCTCTCATTCCTTGGGCTGAATCCCGGCCCACTGCTCTCCCGTTCCTGAGTTCTTGCCCTCTCTTGGCCATGTAACTCTAGCTGGCTAAAATGAGTGTAGACTGTACCCAGTTGGGAGGAGAGCAGTTCGCACCCCACTGCTGCCCTGCCATGATACTGAACCCTCTCTTTGTGGCGGTGGTGGTGGTGTTTGCTAGTGCTGTCACTAGCTGCCCTGTCCTGTGCACATGCCGCAACAACCAGGTTGTAGATTGCAGTGGACTTCGGCTCTTTTCTGTGCCACCAGATCTTCCATTGGATACAAGAAACCTCAGCCTAGCACACAATCGCATCACTGCCATTCCTCCTGGATATCTAACATGTTACTCTGAGCTGCGGGTGCTGGACTTGCGAAACAACTCACTTTTTGAGTTACCCATTGGACTATTCTGGACATCCAAACACCTGTCGCACTTGGATTTGAGCTACAATAACTTCAGCCATGTGGTGGCAGATATGTTCAAGGAAGCCCACCGTCTGGTACACATTGACTTGAGCCACAACCCCTGGTTGAGAAAAGTGCACCCTCAGGCTTTCCGAGGTCTGGTCCAACTTCAGAACCTTGATCTCAGCTATGGGGGTCTCTCATTCCTCAGCCTGGAAGCTCTAGAGGGCCTCACGGGTTTGGTGACTCTTCAAATTGGAGGCAATCCCTGGGTATGCAGCTGTACCATGGAGCCACTGTTGAAGTGGTTGAGAAACAGGATCCAGAGATGCATGTCAGGTAAGTGAAATCAAATGATGGCCCAGCAGTTAGCTTCAGATATGGGGTTCTCCTCTTCTCTGTTTTGCCACCAACTATCTGTCTCACCTTGCAGCAAGAACATAGTAGCTCTCTTAGAGAGATTCCACAAAACTTAGAAAGATCAGGGTTATTGTTGATCCTCAGGAGGACCTTGTATTCTTCTCTACTCAGTCCAGATCTATTGCTTTGTAAACAAAGCATTCCTGAAATTTGCTTTTCTGGGACAATTTATTAGAAATTACAAAACAGGCAATAACAATAAAGCTGCCAGAGTTACGAATTAATAGATACTTTTAAGTTTTGGCAAGAGTACAGAGAAAAATCATTAGATTTCAGTACTAGAGAGTTAGTTTGGTGTAGTGGTTAATTACGTGGACTCTAATCTGGGAGAACCGGGTTTGATTCCCCACTCCTCCACTTGCACCTGGCTGGATTACCTTGGGCAAGCCGTAGTTCTGACAAGAGCTATTCTTGAAAAAGAGCAGTTTCTGTCAAAAGCTCTCTCAGCCCCACCTACCTCCCAGGGTGTCTGTTGTGGGGAGGGGAAGGGAAAGGAAAGGAGTTTGTAAGCTGCTCTGAGACACCTTTGGGGGCAGTGAAGGGCGGGGTATAAATCCAATCTCCTCCTCCTCCTCCTCTTCTTCTACTTAAACCTATCCCTAGTTACAGTGAGTTGAGATTGCTCAAAAGAGATTCACATTAAAAATATATGGCTTTGTTAAAGAAACTGTCATTTCTCCTTTCCAATTGTCCCACTTTAAGTTGACATCCAAATTGATCTACAAATCATTGTAGTATCTGGGAGTGGAATAAACAGAATGGGCAGGAAAGAGCCGGAGGAAAATGTACCAGCAGACCTAGGGTGAGGCCAGTGGCAGAACAGATTGGGGCTGAGGATGATTTTCCACAGGAGTAAGTGTAGTGTGGGGGCTACTGAAAAACCACGTGGGAGCTCTAGCCATATGGAGAGCCAGTCATCACTAGGCTCCAGCCGCACCGTGCACTGAACACTGCCACCCCCCTGACCTTTCATTTCCGTGGATCTCCAAGGGCATAGTGATGGTCTCCTCACCATGTGATTCAGACCACTGGCTCTCAGTGTAACTACAGCCACCACACAGTAAGTCTGTAAGGGCAAATAGCCATTGTGGGCAGCACCTGTCAAGAGAAGTATGGGTGGTGGCAGCAATGCTTACTGGAGGGTAATGACATCTGGGTCAGTGGGCCACAGGGAAGTTTTTAAGAGTTCACCACTACACTGAAAATGATCTTTGGAATCCACTCAGAGACTTTCTATCTGTTAAAACTTGGTGTCAGAGATTGACAGATGTTCTAAACATGCTACCTCCATGATTTGCTGTCATGGTATTCTGCTGATTCCCTGTCCTTGCAGTGAAAGCTTGAATAGGGAATCAAAATTACCATCCCTCCCACTCCCTGCTGATTGCTTCTGGCATTAGTCTTTTCCTGACCTTCTTGCTTATCTCACAAGCTGCAAATGAGAGGCCCTGGAGACAGGAAATCCTGCCCGTGTAGAGTCAGCAGAAAGCAACCCTGTTTTAGCAATCATCCTTGTCTTTTAACATCCTTAGTGTATATTTTCTATGTATGTTTTCCAAACATCCCATTGACTGATGCATAGCAGACAATGAAGGGCAGGGTATGCCCTCCATCTCCACAGTGCAGCTTTTTCTCATTTGGAGGATGGTCAGATGTTTAGATCTGACTTGGGGCCTTCACTCAACCATTTGCATCATAGGTCTGTGTACTGAAAATACACCCATACAGTCATGCAGACAGATTTTCTGGTACACCTATCCCTGTTTTGTTAGGGTACCAAGGCCACACTTTCTGGTGAGCTTTCATTATTATTGCTGCTATTTAACTGGTATTTGCTGTTTGCAAAGCTTAGTACAGAACCTGCTATCCTTAGACCCAATCCACACATGGTAGCTGAATCACGATACTATATTTTGCTGGGTCGCACCATTTCAGGTTGACAGTGAGGATTGTCAGCTTGTATATTCAACCCACACAAAACAATTTTCTGCACACAGAAAAATAGCAGGCAAACGTTTTCTTGTAATCCTTTTCCTGGGCATATTAGATTTCTATAAGCCTGACTTCTTTCATAAAGGGCCATTGAGATGTGACAATCACATATACAAACCTGCTGTCTGCGGTTGTACAATCCAGGGTAAGCTGTACCATTGCAATCAGCTATGTGTGCAAGTTGATTCTTACTATCTATGTTGATTCTTACCATCTAATGATGTGGGGATGGACAGAAGAGAAGGGAAAGAGAGATAATTTAAGAAGACGGCTTCAAGAAAAGCCCCAGGTAGCCACAAGTGGTACTATACATCCTAATATTGTGGACTGAGCTTTTGTGGGCTATAGCCTGCTTCACCAAATGTACAATGAGGCTTGGAAAGCTGCTAGGTTTAAACATGGTGAAGGGAAAGCAGTAATACCATTGTGGTTAAAAGAGGCAAGTGACGCAAACAATTCCACATATGCAGTCGAACCAGAATTCAACACATACTAGTACAATTGATAGTTGAACACCCAGACAAGCATGGAGCTAACCTGATCCAAGCAGAGGCACATCCCTTTCCACTGAAAATAAAAAAGTGGGCCTGCTTTAGTACTACCACGGCCCGGTACATAGACAGGGATCTGCAAGACCTATATGCCTGCTCACGTAATGATAAGCAAATCATTCTATCTTTGCCTCATTTTTCTGTCTGTTAAATGGGAACAATACTGGCCTCCCTTGGAGTGTTCTTCTGGAGGCAAACATAAAAGTTTTCACAAATTGAAAGTGCCATATTAAAAAAAAAGTAGTAGAAGAGAAATCAGTACAGGAGGAATGGAAGTGGCTCCACGTAGAGGCAGGGTTTCCTGTTCTAGAGATAAGAAGTGCATAAAAGAGGGGAGAGGAAACTGGGTGGTTTATTTATTTATTTATTTGTTGGATTTTGACAATACTGTTTGGAAGCACTAAATACCGTAGTAGGCACTTAAAAGTGATAGCTGCCCACATGTCCCTTCGGGTGAAATTCTAGGCATTCAGAGAACTAGGCATGTCATGAAAATTTCAAAAAATGTATGGACATTTTAAAAATCTTAGTTATTCAATCAATTCCAGAATTACTGGTGAAGACTCAGATAAGTGAACATGAGCTAGGAAGATAAGAGGAATCTCTCTTTGTGTATGAGTGTGGTTGCATTAAAGACACTGCTTCTTGTTGCAGATACTCAGCTGGCTGAGTGCCGGGCACCCCCTGAAGTAGAGGGAGCCCCTTTGGTTTCTCTGACAGAGGAGAGCTTCAAGGCCTGCCACCTGACCTTGACACTGGATGATTATCTCTTCATTGCCTTTGTGGGCTTTGTGGTCTCCATCGCTTCAGTTGCCACCAACTTCCTACTAGGCATCACTGCCAACTGTTGCCACCGTTGGAGCAAGGCGAGTGAGGATGAGGAGATATAGCCACATGGCCTGCTCCTTCCTTCTCCTGCATTGCCCACAGTCAGGGGGAAGCCAAGGGCTATCAAGTTCAGGGAAAGAAGATCACTTGTCTTTTCCCTGCTCTGCCATTTTCTTGAGCCTTCCTCCCACCAACCCCTGTATGGCTGCACAAGACTGCCATTTATCAGTCTTTCTTATCAGGGGTAAGGAACCAGGCCAGTAAGGGTAGGGAGAGTGAAGTGTGCCTTGTACAATTCTCTTCACACTGGAAACAGCCAGTGAACCATGGCCTGAAAAGTGACAGAAACACATCAGTGGATGCTTCAAACCATTCTTCATCCATTGCCTTCCTCACCACTCTTTGCATACACACACATACACACAACACACTAACATGCATTTGTTGCACTTTTCTAAGTGAATGCCTTGAACACACAGTCATAACAAGGGCTGTTTTGGGGCAGGAACGCACAGGAACTGAATTCCGGCTGGCTCCCAAGTTGGCCACACCCAACATGAACTCATTAGCATAATAGGCCACACCCAACAGCAGAAACGCATTAGAATTGGCTACATTAGGAGTATATGCAAAGGATTTCCTGCAACAAGAAAAGCCCTGGGTTTTGACAACAAACAAGGTAAACAGAATAAGAAGCAAAAGGTGGGTGTGGCTGGATGACCACACTTCTGGTAACATGGTGGTGCGGCCTAATGTGCTAATGAGCGGTACAGTCAGGGGTGTGGCCTAATATGCTAATGAGTTTTACTGCTGGGTGTGGCCTGTTATGCTAATGGGTTCCTGCTGGATTTTTTCTACAAAAAAAGCCCTGGTCATAACAAATAGACACACAGATACACACTTACACACATCCTGTACCTGACCATGGGTATACACTGAAATTTTCCCTCTTGGGAGATATGAAGCTCTTGTCTCTTTGACCAATCCAAGTCCCATTTGATCTAGTTGAGAGAACACCATGATTAAACACATGAAGGCAATCTGGATCATTGTTTAGAGTGGTAGATCTGCACTTAGAACCAGGCCAGCAGTTCGCTTTTATATATACAGCAGTTTTTGTTCTGTCAAGATCTCCAAGAAGATTTCGGAGACAAAACTGAGGGCCAGCTGAACTCTCAGCAAAACTATTTTCCATCCCAGTTGCTAATGATTTGGCATAGATGGTGCTATGATATACACAAATATTTGTTGTCTACATGATTGGTCTCTTTCTAGCCACATGGCTGAAGTTCTGTCTCCTGTCAGGGATGCCTGCGTTCCAAAAGGCACCTGTTGCATAGATGGCTGCCAGATTTTCATTATGTTACAGTTTAGTGGAACCTTACAATAAGCCACATTATAAAATATGAAATTGTTGTGTAGCTCATACAGGAGGTGATAGTTTACAGCCTATCACATCTGAAATCACATTGCTGACACTGGGTATAGGCTGGCTTCCTTTGAGAAGATGCATCCAGGGTTAGATTAGCTGTGGAGACAGAGTGTGCAGCCTATGAAGAAAAACAAAAGATGCAACTTGTTGAGAGTAAAGTTTTTAAGAGAATAACATTATAAGAAATTATTCTTGATGAAGACAACGTTGCCTGAAACACGCGGATTACAATAAATTACTGATAACAAATACTTCATATCTCCTGCAGCTTTTTCTTCAGCAGTCTGCTGCTCATTTCCACATTACAAACTTTTATCAGTTTTATATCCGTTAAATAGTTGTGGTTTCCCACCCAAGCATCCTGCAGTTGTAGTTTTGTGAGAGTGCTGGGAAATGTCCATTATAGTTCTTTTGCCCCAGAGAGAAAGATCCAGGCCCATAGCTACAATGGGGCATTTGGGGGCCCGGCCCCCTTAATTAAAAGCCCTGCCCCACAAATCGCCATTCCAGAAACCTTTTCCCGGGGGGGGGGGTTGTATTTTTTTAACATATGTGCATGTGTAGAAACCTTGTTTTTGAGGAGAGACCCCCACAGGCAGCAGCATTGTGGCTTGCCCTCATTCTTCCCTCTCTCTCCCATTGTGGAATTCTTGGGGGGCATCATAGGACCTGAAAGAGTGGCACCTATCTCCATCAATCCCCCTTTCTGCTAGCCCAGTCCTGCAGTAAACCACCTAGGTCATGGTGAGTCTTTCAAAAGCATTCCCATGAGACTTTGGGAAACATGCAAACTAATTTGCATGTTTTGCAAAGGTTCGTGGGGATGCTTTTGAAAGACTCACCATGATCTAAGTGGTCTACAGCAGGACTGGGCTAGCAGAAAGGAGGATTGTTGGAGATATATTGAAGGTGCCACTTTGGAGTGCCTGTCTAAGTTTTCTTGTCCTGTGAAAGAGAATTATAAATGTTTTTAAATTTGTTTTATATCGGTGTTTGCCACTTGTAAGCCGCCCTGAGCCCGCATTGTGGGGAGGGTGGGGTATAAATTGAATTAAATAAAGAAAGAAAATAAATAAATTCAAAAGGCCTTTAGATGCTGTCTGAGGTGTTTTTCCCCCCTAGGAACTGGTGCGCTTGCTGCCCTGTCAGTTGAGAAAAAAGGGCTAGAAGCAGGCTTGAAGCCTCCTCTTTTAAAGACAGGCATTCAGATTAATTTAATTAACTATAATTTAACTGTCCCCTTAAAATTTTACATGTCCCCTGAACAAAAGAATCCTGGCTACAGGCCTGGAAAGATCACTAACTAAACCAGTTGGAATCTGTAGGGAACGTATGCTTTCAGAGGTCAGTGGTGATTGGCCTTGGTTTTGTCTTTCTGTCTTACTCAACACTCTAACAGCAGGTGGTGCTACAAGTTAGGACTGGGAATGCGTGGAAGTCCGTGTGGCACAAGTGGGCTACAGGAGGGAGACTGGAATGAACCACACAGCTTAGCACTTGCAGAGCCTCCCGAAAGGCAGCCTTGAGGAGAATGAAAAGTGATTCTGGGATTCTGGTAGTTCTGTGTGGTTCAGACCTGCTACTATCCAAATATAGCATTTCTCCAAACGCACCATAAGAACATTTGTCTGCCTTTCTTCCTGAGCAGGAGGGCTTATTGGAGGGGGGGGGTGATAAGGCAATGGATTTCTCCAGACTGCATAGGAAGCCAATATCAGGAGCAGTGTTCCCTCTAAGCTGAGTTGGTGTGAGCTAGCTCACAGGTTTTTTGACTCCGGCTCACACAGTTTTGCCTTAGCTCAGGAAACAGGGCTCCAGAGCAGACTGATTTCTGCAGCAGCCAAATCGCTCGCTCACAACTTTAGTGACAGTAGCTCACCAAGTAGGATTTTTGCTCACAGGACTCCGCTGCTTAGAGGGAGCACTGATCAGGAGTACGTCTAGCATATAACATGTCTCATGTTCAACCCTTTCACGTGCATTCTAGAAAAAAGTGTGAAGATTGGATGGACTGAACCAAGAATATTCATTGATGACATATCATTTTTGCACTCAGCCCCACCATTGTAATGTTCTTAGTAATAAAGCTGGACATGAGGATTCAGATGCCTGTTTGGCAAGTTCAACTATAATTGGCTAATGTTCCTAGGAGGGGAACCACCTTATAAAGCCTATAACGATCTCCTGGAGATTTCTGTGTGTGCTGATTATACTTAATGTATTTTGAAACTTGTAAAGTATTTTTCTTGCATAGAAATAGGACCAAACAAGATACTGGATGTTGCTGGGAAGGGCTGGGGAGAGGGAGGGGCCACTTGGGCTCACCAAAATCAGAAAGATCGCAGGTAAATCTGTTTTTGAAAAGCAGAATCTTTTCAGATGATCTTTTCCTATCATGCTGGGATTCCCCCCCCCCCAGCACTTCATGGAACTGAGTTTTCTAACATCATCTAGAGATGATCCTGCCTTTAGGAAAAGTGAAACAGCCTGACTAAGGCAGGAGATTTGGACAGCAAGTGTCAATTATTTACTTGATATGATGTTTTCCCCACTACATGAGCCCTATTGGGATTTTCAGCCTCTGATGTCAAAACATCCTAGGCGATCTCTGAAACGATCATATGTTCAGGATGGCTACGATATGATCATATGTTAAACCCTTCATATTTTAACATCACTCTCACCACGGAGTATTGGGGGAGGGCAAAATGTAACACTGTGATGGGGAGAAAGCCTATGTCAAATTACCTTAGAAATTATTTCTACGGCATTTTCAGAAGTAACTGGAAATTGGTTGACAGGGCTAATATCATTTGCAAGGCAGAATCTGCTCATGTTATTGTTCCTCATGCTACATGTGAAATGCCCGTGTCTTTAAGAATGCTTTAAGGTATAATTAAGAGAATCCAGTTTCAGTACAGCCTTTATTAATAATAAACTGAAGTTGTTACCACTCTAATTGTCATTGCCAAGCAAACAGAGTTTTCCTTGAGTAATACAAAGCTGGATAATGTCTCTACCTGCATCCACAGTGGCCCCTTTCAATGAGCTACCAGAAATTATGTCTGGGTTTCTCTATGGGTATTATAGGAGCAGCTCCAGACCAAAATGTTCATGCCATCATATTGAAGCAATTATATGGAGATCTTTCTACTAGTCAAAAAACATAAGTTCTGAAAAAAATGACTGTATAGAAATGACATCTAGCACTTATTTCCCTTATGCACACTAGTCAGTAATTAACAAGTGACTTTATTATTTCTGGGTTTGCACAGCTATAGACAAAGAATCATTCCCAAGCAAGAACTTGGAATCTCCTTCACTCATCCAAATTTACTCTGATAAGAAGCATCACTTATACATGAAGGTGCTCTCAAATGCCCTTCAGGCTGTGTCTTCTTTTGTGGTTATTTTGGCACTGTTGTTGCTTGTTTAAAGAGAAGTAATGTGGTACAAAAATAGGAACATCCTGATTCTGCTCCGGAGCCAAAGACCAAAATAGCATTTTAGGTGGAGTGGTTCCATACAGCGTATTTTAAGGTGACCATATGATTGTTCATAATGTGGCCAATTTGTAACTCACCCATATTTACTGCTGAACATGGATTACACTATAGAGCAATAAGTGTG